CCGGGGGGCCACAACCAACAGCCGGCAGAGTCCCGGGAGACTTAAGCGGCAAGCCCACAGGTCCGCCCGCAGCCTTCCACCCCCTAGCCGGCCGAGCCCGTGACCCAGCGACCCGGGACCCAGGGGCGACCACCCCCGCTGGAGACCCAGCAGAGCACAGGGACCCAGACCCCACCAGGCAGCCACCGGGATCTATCAGGCAGATGCCAAAATCTTAAACCCCCAGACCCAGTTGCCACGAACACTCAGGCAGACCAAGGCACAACCCCTCACACCAGGTGTGGCAGGGGGAGGGGGGACGAAGATCTATATAATCAAGAGAAGTTCCAGGAGAGGGGAGGAGTCAAAGGCCCCACCTGACATGTTGTCATACACAAACACAGTCACACACTCCCTCCCTCATGCTCACACATGCACATACAACCCAAGACTTACAAAAATGCACGCCGGACACCCACTCATGCTCCCCATACACACCCTATTCACTCTGGTCCCGGTACTGCTGCACATTGGGTACAACCATCACCGGTAACCAGAGTTTGACCCTTTCTGCTGGGGTGCTGATGAGCAAGCTCCCCCGCCCAACGCTGAGCACAGCAACCTACCACCCCAGACCCCAACCAGACGGCCAGATCTCCCTCCTAGCCTCCAGCCCCAGGAAGCCAAGCAACAACAGAGGTGGCTAAGACCCCTAGTCTCCCTCCGTCTGCTCCAATATAGTGTTGTGTGATCATGAGGTGTATTCCATGGCGGTGGTGAGTGGGCAGTGCGGGCATCATCCGGCCTATGCCAGCTGATGCCACCGCACCACCCCACTTACACCCTCAGCCATCAGTGTCAAAGTGCGGTTTAAAATTGGAAGTGGGCACCGGCACCCGGGAGGAGGCTGAGATGTCCCCCTGCCAAATGCCGTTGAATGTGCTCACTCCCAAGGCCCTAAGTGTGTGTTTGTGTGGAATGTCGTCAGTGGAAGTGTATAAGGTGCAAATAAAATTGTCAGAGTCCATACCCGCACTCCCTGACTTGCCCACCCCCCAAGGTCCTATGTGTATGTTTGTGTGATGATGTGAGGGAGCAGGAGGAGAGAAATATGCGGGGATGGGGAGGAATGGCTGGTTGGACTTGGCGCTCCAGGGAGCCATTTGGGTTTAACTCTTAATGCGAGGACTCGACCGGACTGCCCAGACTTCCGGTTTCATGTAGAAAGTCAAAACAAAACAAAATGGAGCTCTGAGTTTACAGTAACTTTTGAGAGCTAATGGCTTAATAACTTTTATGAGCGCCGATTATCTTTTGCTGGGCCCAAGTGGAATAGCCCAGCAGACGTTCGCTTAAGGCACCTTTCTTCTTTGTTCTGCTCCATGAAGTCTGAACTTCTGGTTTTATAAACTTTCTTTTTGTCACACCCACATGTATTTTACTCCTCAACCACTTGATGGCACTGTGGCTCTTTCACATAACCTCTGCCTCAACAATGATCACAATTTACCAAAGTTGGACCAGATGGGGGTCAAAGGAGTACTTTAAACAGAGAATAACTAAATTTATGTCTTTAAACTGGACAGTTTTATCATTAGCATGAATTTTAACTGGAGAAACATAAAATGACAGAGGTTTAACATAAAAGTAAACACAAAACAAACAGTTTGGGTCTGTGGCAGATAAGATTTTAACTTACAGCACCTTGATTTCTATTTTAAGTGTAAACAACCTAAACACATTCTTTGATTGTCGACAAACAGGAATGCAAGGTTTATAAAAACTCAAGTCATTAAGCTCCCAGGAGGACATTAAAGGAAGGAAGCTTCACGACTTCCCCCATCTTGAGAAAAAGGGTAGTTTGAGAGTTGATGTAAAGCAGACCAGTTTCTGATATTTCTTGCGCCTCCTGATTGGCGCAGAAGGGAGGCCAGACAAATTGCACCAATTGGTGCAATTTGCGATCTTGGGAGAGAGTCGTAGGAGGTAACCAGAATGCTGAAACTGCAGGCCAGTTTCAAATTCCCCTTTTTGTTTTTTCTTCTGCTAAATATGAGAGGAAATCTTTGTGAAAATAGTTATGTTCTCCTTCGTGTGAATCCAAACAAAGTTAATCTGAGTACAGAAAATGTGGATTTCAGCTACACTATTTTGGTGAGAGTTATCTGTGATCCTGAACAAATCATTTCATAAGTAATGCCCAAAGTGATTTGTTTAATTTTTTACGACTGATGACAAACAATGTCATTCCACTCTCAAGTCTTTCCAATGATTAGTTAGTTACAGACAGCATGGGTAGCGCTAATAGTTATTTATTATGAACTTTCTCTTCCTAGAATAAACTTGCATCATCAACCCCAGGGGTTTTCTTGCTGTCATAGAGATGAACCACCTGCTTGACAAGTAAATCAGTTTCCTGTGGTGGAAAACATCCATGGTGGAGCTGTTCATTCTCAGCCTTGACAAATATGACAGCATAACTCTGTAGACATGACTCACTGTATTTACAGGTTTGTAATAAGGCAGGATAAATATGGCATATAGAGTGTAAAGCTGTGCCTTCTACAATAAATAGTTTTACTCATGATAAATCCCTCCTGTGGCAGTTGTGCATCACAGGATGTATAGTGAGTAGATACATTTGAAACAATAAAAAAGTGAGTAATTTGGCCAAGTAAACATTAAAGGGAAACTAAGCTGTTTTGCCTTGCTTTTACCACCCCCTAGTGTTCAGTTAGTGACAGCAAAAGTGAAATGCATGTCCTCGCTATGCGTTTGTCTTTTAAACATCTTGTTCTAACAGCTGAAATGTCTCCTCAGACTTCATCAGTTTCTGGAGGAGTGGTTCATTTTTAAATCAATCAAATCAGACGTGTTCATGATCTAAAACATGCAGGACATGTGCTGGAACCAGACTGCAGTGCCACGCATGTCAGCTCAGTTTTCTTTTCGAAGTCCAATGGACCGGACCGGCACTCTGAAGTTTCAAGTATGATATTTTGGTCACAGAGTGTGGTGGGGTTCTGAGTGACATTTCATTAGCCTTGTAAAGCATCATTTTGGCACATACAAAAAACATTTCATAGTATGCATTTTAACAGGTTACATGTTGACCTTTATGTTGTCACTACTTTAAACTAAATGGAGAAAGTCTAGCCTTTCTATTGGGTGAACTACTTGCTATTAGCTATCTGAAGCAATTTGAGGTGATCAAAATAAAATTAAACCCAAACAAGCAATTTAATGCTACTCAGGGTCACCAAATATTACATCTATACAATTCAATTCAATTTTATTTATATAGCGCCAAATCACGACAAGAGTCATCTCAAGGCACTTCACATAATAAACATTCCAATCCAGGTCAGTTCATTAAGCCAATCAGAAAAAAATGTTTCCTATATAAGGAACCCAGCAAATTGCATCAAGTCACTGACTAGTGTCAGTGACTTTACAGCAATCTTCATACTAAGCAAGCATTTAGTGACAGTGGAGAGGAAAACTCCCTTTTAATAGGAAGAAACCTCCAGAGGATCCTGGCTCAGTATAAGCAGCCATCCACCACGACTCACTGGGGATCGAGAAGACAGAGCAGGCACACACACACACACACACACACACACACACACACACACACACACACACACACACACACACACACACACACACACACACACGCACGCACGCATGCACGCACACACACACACACCAAGCAATGTGTCTATTTTAACATTGTGATTTCTAAGTAAATATTCTATTTGGCGAGAGATAAACTTTATTGTATTTATCCTAGTGAATCTATAATTAAATTGGGTAAACTAGCAGTAGCACATCTAACGACAAGGACAGCAAAAAGTTATTATCAGGAGAGGGAGAATGTTTAAGTGATTAGCAGCAGTGTGCTAGAGACGATGGTCCCCTCCATGAGGCCACCACAGCTCAGCAGAACATCGTTGTAGCTTCTTCTGGGGAGAAAAGCACCTAGAGAAAAAATAAAATTAACAGCTGAAATAGCAGAAAATAATACAGTTAAAGGGCAGATTGTAGAAGAAAGTAGTAGAGTTTGAAAAGTGGTCAGTGTATCCTCCAGCAGTGTAAGCCTATAGCAGCATAACTACAGAGATAACTCTGGATAGCCTAGCCTTTTTAGATGGAGGCATGTTGGAGGCAGGGCAAGGGAGAGCCGTCTTTACCGACTGTACACTCCACCTCCCTCTACTCCCCCACTTGTCCAGATGTAGGCTAACATCAGATTTTAACCATAGGCCCTATCAAATAAGAATGTTTTACGCCTAGTCTTGAAAGTAGACAAGGTGCCTGCCTCACGGACTAAAGCTGGGAGCTGGTTCCACAGAAGAGAAGCCTGATGACTAAAAGATCTGCCTCCCATCCTAATTTTACGTAGATATTCTGGGAACCACCAGTAAACCTGCAGTCTGAGAGCGAAGTGCTCAGTTAGGAATGTATGGAACAATCAGATCACTGAGGTATGATGGAGCTTGATTATTAAGAGCTTTATATGTGAGAAGGAGGATCTTAAAATGTATTCTGCATTCAACAGGTAGCCAATGTAGGGAAGCTAAGACAAGAGAGAAATGATCTCTCTTTTTAATTCTCATCAGAACTCTAGCTGCAGAATTTTGGACAAGCTGAAGACGTTTAACTACATTCTGTGGACTTCCTGAGAGTAATGAATTACAGTAATCCAATCCTGATGTAATAAATGCATGAACTAGTTTTTCAGCATCACTCATGGAAAGGATGCTTCTAATCTTTGCAATATTCCGAAGGTGGAAAGAGGAAATCCTACAAACCTGTTTAACTTGGGATTTGAATGACATGTCCTGGTCGAAGATAACACCAAGGTTCCTTACTTTGTTCTTGGAGAATAATGTAATGCCATTCAGGTCAGGTGACTGACTAAGCAATTTCCTTTTCTTACAACTATTCAAACGTCAAAAGCATCTTTCTAAGTGACCAATCTAAGGAACTAAAAGTAATCTGTCTTTAAGTTTAAGTCAGATATCTCAAATGACATGTAAAGATCACTTAGATTTGGGGACAAATAGCAATGATCTTTTGTGAGCATCTGACAGCCTCAGCCTTTTAACCCTCTGGAGGCAGGCATTGCTGATTTGCAACAGTCAAAACCTACCTACCTGGTTACTCCACATACATATTTTGTGAGCTTTTTTTTTTTTTTTTTTTTTTTTTTTTACTCAGAAGTACCCCTGAAGGACTTAGTTGTTCGTCCTTTTATCAAAACTTATTTAGAGCCGGAGAGGATTAACTTCTAAACTAGGCCTGCCGCTGTCCATGGTGCTGATCGTTAGAAGCAGTAGAGAGGCACTAGCCGTGGTGCTGGAACTGAAGAAAGCAGACTTCCAGGATGGGCAGGCAGAATCCATATACTTAAAACACTGTTTCATGTTTACTTTTAGATTTGTATTAGAATCTTCCAACGAGTTAACCTGAAACAAACAATGAAGCTCAACTGTCTTATAACATCAGTATAGCTAAAAGAAAATGAGTACATGTATATAAAAATTATTATTCATCCTGTAAATTCAGAACAGAAATCTACAGCATATCTACTGCTAATAATTGTACATATGGCAAACGGACAATAATGCTGAGTAACTGGGTGTGGTCATGTCCTCATGTGTGGTTTGCGTTGGTTCTGAGGGTTTCTACCAGCAAAATAAAATCTGACCTTGTTACTGGGACATAAAACTGATAGGAAGAGCTAACACCAATGGCAGTGGTGTAAGTCATGAAGCTTTTGTTTCAAATCCAGGTCCTTGTTCTGTGTAAGACAGTTGTTTTTCACTCAGGATCACCTTGGATTGCATTGTGAAGCCCTTTGATACACCATTGTCTTTGAATCTCTGCATCGATTTTAAACATAAAAACTGATTAATAAAATAATCAGTTTGACTTAAAATAGGCTCCTTTGCAAAGATAATTCTGTGGTGAAAAGAAAATATCTTGAGCAAAACTCAAGTAAGGTCAGACACAGTTCATTTTCAGTGAAAGTACTGACTGTCTTTTTGACAACTATTCTAGTTTTGGAAAGGCCAATTAAAAGTAAAAATTACCTGTTTTATCATCTGCAAGTGAGAATTGATAGGGATTTAGATAAAAGATGAAGAATTACCCTAAAAATGCTACAAAAGGGGGATCTGGATGTTTCCTGAGGCGAAAAGTTGCGGTGATATTTATGCAGGACAGCACAATTCCAAAGAGCAAAAACACATTGATGTGAATTTAGGACAAACTTCTTTCCAAGTTCTAGATGACATTAATCTTTCCATGTTAGAGGGGCTGATAATATTGCGTGCAAGGCAAAAAAAGTAACACATTCAAACTTTTGTCTGTGTGGAACAAACAGCCTTTATTAGAGGCTTGGTTCATCTAAAAACTGCAGCATGCTTTGCATTTGCTCAAAGAAATTTTCCTTCTTGCATACGCTATTTATTAGAAGGTAGCCAATTATACCAAGCTGTACATACTTTAGTAATCATGCAGCGGAGTCCTTTAAAGTAGAACTCAGATGGTTAATGATAGTACTTTATCAATTATCAGTCCAGTGGCATTTTCAGCTCTGCAATACATTTCCTATACAGATAGTTTCAGTAGATCTACTTTTCATTTAGAGTGCCTCATAATTCTTTCAGCTTTTATAGATGATATGATATATACTCAATTTGCTGAAGCCTTGTGCTGCAGGTGTAGCTGACCATATTGATCGACCAAGGTTAAGGTTGTGGCTTGTCTGATTACTGATGAAACTCACCATACAAATCACATGCAAAAGTTGTAGTTCTGCACCACATGTAACCTTTACCTTCAGACAGCTTCTATGTAGGTAAAGGGAAAGGTGTTAAGATTCAAGCGTACTTTCTAATTTCGAGTCCCACTTTCTAATTTGGTCTTTTTGAGTAATAGCTTCATTTTATTCAGCTCCATAGATCTGGCTCTGCATGTGCAACTATCTTGGTGGCATACGTTAGTCAAAATGATGGAAACTAAAATACAGACTCTTTCATCACAATCCAGCTCTGATTTTGAACCAGATTTATGCTGTATGTGAACTGAATGTAGATTGCTCATCTACAAAAATCACCTTGATGAACTCTAGTGTAGGTTATTGCATTCACTACTTGATTGTATCATTGCATACAAAGTAAGCTGATTTCTTTATAATTAGCACTAATTAGCTACATACTGCAAGAATTTACTGAATTTAGTGAATAAACACCTACAGCAAAAATACATGAGATAATAATTTTATCTGTGTTTGTATGTGTTCAGAAAAAAATGCTTGTTACCCATTAGTAACAGAGTACAGAGTAACTTTTAGATTAAACCCAATTCAAGTATATTAGCAAGGTGAAAAATGGTAGATAGAAAGGTCAACGTTGCAGTTTTACTAACAAAGACTCATTTGCCACCACATACGTTTAGAGCTAACATAGAAGGATTTGTAAAAATAAAGATTTCACCAATAACTTAGCCATGGTCCACTGGAGTCACACATGTGTAAGTTGCCTAATGAATGAAAACAAATAAAAATCTCATAAAATCTTTACAGGATTAAGATTATTGATGTTCTGTGCATATTAAAGACATCCAGTTAAATTGAGATCTTTCAATTAGATGTGTGATTGTATAACATTTATTTGAGTAACTTTATTAGGACCCAAACAATAAGTTATGAGGTTATATCAGTATCTTTTAAGGAACATCAGGCTTATAATCAGAAATAAAGTTCAGTCAACCAGATAATGTGTCATCTTTATACATTCATTTTATTGTGATTTTTTTTAATGTAAGAACTATCACCCCCCACCCCCACCCCCCACCCCATCTACGTCAGCCTGCCATAAAAGTGTCTATTGATTTGTGTGCTGAAATAACACTCACATAATTATCCCAATTTCAGGAGAAAACATGTGGAAATGTTCAACCTGAATAAAAACAAAACAAAACAAAAAAAATACAGCAATCCTTCATGCTGAACAACCTGTGGAGTCTGGAGCAGAACACCTAAGCAGGTCTGATTAGGAAACTTGTAATATTTGCCTTTACTTTTATTAAGACAAAGTCAAAATCCTAAATCCAATTTCATTTCGTTCTAATTGTCTATTTTTGGATTTCTTTGAAGCTTATCTTTGCAGAATTATACCAGGAGATGCAAAACTCAAGCACGTGTTTGTTTCTTACTATAGTTGTACTACAACACATGTAAAGAAATAGGTACACAAAATTAGCAAAACAGTATTTTATTAGAAACATTTTGTATAAAAAACTGAACATGCTCAACACATTTTGACCTTTTTTCTTCTTATATAGATAATTCATAAATATCCAGGCACTGTAACTTTTTTAATCTGTATTTTTAATATTTCCGTACATAAAGCAGACATGATCAATCAATTTTCTTAACGTACAATAACTTGCCATTTTATTTCAGTCAGCACTTACATATTTAATTTTTTTAACACACACAGTGTTGTAGAAAAATAAAAGCTGTGCCAAAAAAATAAAAGAATAATAACAGAAAAAAAATTATAATTCAAACGAAACAAAGAAGTAAATTTTCATATTCACTAATATAAACAATCCCACAAACAATACTCGATCAGATGGTGAGGAAATCCTTTTGCGGCATCACCTTTAGCTTTGTTTAAGCTGAGAGAATTAACGACTGAAACGGTTAGCTGTCTATAATCCTCTGCAGTAGTTTTCCATCTGGACAAGGTGCCTTTCTCTTGTATTGTTCTAATGACTCGTTATGGGTTCTGACATGCAACATACAGAATTTTTGCATCGCTGAGGATAACATTTAATGAAACAAATTCCAGAGTTACTATTTATGACGAGCACTTCAGACTTTGGACAGAAATGCATTTTTCACAATATTATAAATCTTACACTTTTAAATCTGAATTGAGTTTGTGACACTTTTAAAATGTTAATGGGTTTAACTGAAATAACACCATGAGGATGGGGGGAATGGCAGTGATATGAGGCACTGGCCCTTATTTATCTAGTAGGGATTTTGTTTCAGAGCAGAGAATAAAATGCAGACAGCATACATTTGGTAAAGAGCAGAGCAGAGCTTATCTGTAACATTTTTTTATTGTACAATCGCTGTACATCATAATGCTTCTCTGAAATGATAATCAGAAACACAACATTTTTATTTTCCCTAACACATCTTGACTGGGTCAGCCTCAACCGGGCTGGTGCTTTTATGTTTGTCTGATGGAAACAAAAGTGTTTGTGTCTAGCTAACTAGCTTTTTATTTTGGAGGTGTGGTCCAGATTCAAGCAGTTACTCTTCTGACTAAACAAGCTAACAGAAAAAATACAGACATCTAAACATTCCAGTTACAGGATACGGATGCACTTCTCTAACGTTTTCTTAATGTGTAGCAGCGACTGCATAGGAGCACAATTTAGATGATGTAAACAATACAATTAAACTCTTATTCACCACTTGCATTGCAGCAATGTTTGTTGTCAGCTCAAAGAGACAGGAGTGCATGTACTGTGTAAACACTGTGCAGCAAAATAAACATTACTAAATCATCAACTGTAAACTCTTCCTTTGACAGTATTGCTGATGGTCCCACTGTTAGTACTTTAGGCTCCTCATAAAAATGGATAATACATAGTTTATAGATACGTTATTAAATATTCTGTCACAATTTATTAATCATTAATACTCAGACTGGGTGGGAATAAGAGTGCATAAAAGAAATGGCTCATTATCGTGTAAGAAACCAGTCAGTTTTCTGTCTTTCCCACTCTTAATTAGTGCATCTGTAAGGGGAGCCTTGTTGTAAGGCCCACTGTTCACACACACTACAGTGATTGCACCTCAGTACGATTTGTAAAATATTGACATATCAAGTTTATATTTAATTTAAACTCTTTTATTGATCAGAGTAGGGTTGCACTTCTAATCTCAGTTGTTGACCCAATAGCTATGGATTTGCATCTGCCATGCTGTAACATAGCAGAGACATTTTACTGAGTCATAGAGAATAACCCCTTTTGTCTGGACGTGGAGGGGGAACAGGGAGAACGACCAATGGAAATATTGTTGAAAATCTTTAAGTTAGTTAAACATTTCTCTACATATTATAATATCAATAAAAAGTCAAATTACCAGTTAAATTCAACATCGTCGTCGTCGTAGTCATCTTCCTCCGCTTATCCGGGTCCCTGTCGCGGGGGCAGCATCCCAACTAGGGAGCTCCAGACCGTCCTTTCCCCGGCCACCTCCACCAGTTCTTCCGGCAGGACCCCAAGGCGTTCCCAGACCAGATTGGAGATGTAACCTCTCCAACGTGTCCTGGCTCGACCCAGGGCCTCCTGCCGGCAGGACATGCCCGAAACACCTCCCCAGGGAGGCGTCCAGGAGGCATCCTGACCAGATGCCCAAACCACTTCAACTGACTCCTTTCGATCCGGAGGAGCAGCGGTTCTACTCCGAGTCCCTCCCGAATTTCCGAGCTCCTCACCCTATCTCTAAGGCTGAGCCCGGCCACCCTACGGAGGAAACTCATTTTGGCTGCTTGTATTCGCGATCTCGTTCTTTCGGTCATTACCCAAAGCTCATGACCATAGGTGAGGACTAGGACGTAGATCGACCGGTAAATCAAGAGCCTGGCTTTCTGGCTCAGCTCCCTCTTCACCACGACAGATCGGCTCAGCATCCGCATCACTGCAGACACAAACCAATCTGCCTGTCGACATTCAACATATGCCATTCAATTAAAGTTGGCCAGACATTGCATAGAACTACCCTCATAAAACACTATTTTAAGTGCCGTTCATAAACATTGTCAGCTCTACAAATAACCACTAACCAATAAAGAGACACTGGGGCTATCAACATTGTGCTCCTTAAAAAAATCATATCAAATAAAAACCAAAATCAAAATAATGCAAATACTAAATTCAGCCTCAGTACTCATAAACGCATAAACCTTAGCTAAAATATTCACATATTCAGTCTAACCCTGCTACTTGACCGTTTGCACCTGGTTATGTTGTTCTACCAAAGTGGATGTCAACAGTGAGTTACAGGAGTGTTGAACAATGGGCAAAAGTGGTGACTTTTTGACAGTTTAGCCTGACTTTTGCTAGTTCAAGCCCAGTTCACTTGTCTGAATAAGTGGAACACCTAGGTGAGGCTCTTCGAGAGCAGTATTTATAAATGTTAGAGTTAGGTGTTCCCTTAAGTAGCATGGTGTCATGTGGAAAGGGTCGATAGAGACTAGGGCTAAGATTACATTGTCTAGACTGAAATAATCAATTATTAATGGTTTACTAAATGCACTGTCTTTAGTAACACTGGCAGAAAAATACTTCTAACTGCCGAATTCAGTTAAAAGCTGCAAGATAAATAAGGACCAATCAGTTTCAGATGTTTAAAAATGCTGTAAGTCTCATCAAGTCTGTGCTGACTTGAAAGGATTATGTAAAGGAAATTAGGTTTAATGGCAACATTATTTTGACTCCTTATGATGATTGTTTTAGTCTTGGTTCCATTGAGGGGTCTTGTACAGGTTGGGATGAGCTGGGACCCTATTTTATTTTTTTTTCTGTTGTGAAAGCCGGCCATACAACCAACTCGGACCAGGCCATTCTTGGGCCTGCTTCAGGTGTAGGTCAACTTGTCAATGAAGCGGTATGGCTAGGGCGGGATGGATGATGTCACACAGCACAGGCTATTGATCAGGAAAAAGAAATATGTCACTTTGACTAGCAAATATAAACTTTAGTTTGTATCTTTATTTATACGTAAATGTGAGAAGATGCCAGCAAGCAGAACTTTAAACACTCCTCACCACACTGGTATGACTCGATGGTCAATGGTACACACTTAGGTATAACCACGCCTGCCAGGTGAGAGTCCAACTGCGATTGAAACACTTTCCTGAAAACAGTGACCACTATCGGTGCACACCGACCCGTCCAGGACCCTTCATGGAACCGAGGCTTTTATTTTAGGTGATTTCAAACTAATGGGTAATGGTTCAAAATGACATCTTCACCGTGGGACAGCATGACAAATGTTGCATTCCATAGACGTTGACAACACAGCACAGAACACGTGATGCTCCCATTAGCATGCTCTGGGACTGTACAGTAGGTTTGCCAAGACGACGGTGTCTTCATCATTATGAAACATTAATAAAGCAACTGAGGTGTCTTGCTGCTTTATTTTTACGTGTTTTGCATGTGGCTAGTCCATGAAGGGGTTCTGAGTGTGCTGTAGTAAGGCATGTACAGTTTGAAGAGTACTGCAGCTTTCAACTCCACCAACAACTGCAAACAAAAATAATTACTATATTTCTATACTTGCCCATCTCACCAACTGTATTTGACATAAAAACACCACACTTGCTTCCCTGGTTTTGCTGGAACAAGATGATTCGGCCATGGAGAGAACTGAAACTGTGCTATACACTTAAAAATCATACCATTGGTTGCAGTCTTCATCACTGATCAGCATTCATTTGTGTCCTATAAAAGGGTGGGAAGAGGGAAATTACAGGTCCAAGCTCTCACTTCTCCCCTGGCCATGCTGATTTCTCATCAATCTGGCATCCAAGCATTATTCTGTGGAAAAATATGGCATCCTTTTCCCACATTTCCACCCTGGTCTTCCCTGTTGTAGCAGCTTGAAAGGTCTCCAGTAACTCCCCAAAATTCTCCTTAAACAAATGATCCCTCCCATGACCAGCCTTTGTTCGTCTCCAGTGGTTCTCCTTTGTCTTAGATGGCATGGTTACTGTAGCTTATGTATGTCTGCTTCGAGGACAGCGCTGTAAGTGAAGGTGCAGAAAGAAGCAAAGAGTCAAAAACAGAGTGAACGGTAAAGATATGTGGGAGGGTAATCTCTGGGAATCCACATAGCGGGAATACCGATTAATGCAAGACTCTATTTATAGATGACTTCATTAACCATGAACAGGTGGAACTAACTGTAATACCAAGGTGGCTAATGGAAAATTATGTTTACACAAATAATTTCTGTCACTGCAGCACATTAAGATTGGAAATTGTAGAAAAGCAGAAGAGTTTGTGAGATTTTTTTCCATTAAAAGAGCAAATCTGAGATTGCCAATCCCAAAATAAACTACAAAGGAAAACTATAATAATTCAGAATAAATTAAAGGTTTTACAAGCAAACAAACACACTGCAGGTTTTGTGTTTCATTTCCTTTTGTGTGGTTCATGCTGCCCTTTACTAAACTGTTGACTTTAAATTGTGTCTGAGGTCATATTTTTGTTGTGTTTTAGAGTCTGGTTCATTTATAAAGTCCAGTTAACTCATCTGATCTTTAATAATATGGATTCCAGCACATTTGAAATATAAAACAGAAACTAAGTATCTGTGCATTTGGTCAAATGTTGGATATGCACACTTTTAAAAACATGACTTTCATTCTGGTTTCATGAAGCATTCAAAGTGGTTTAACCAAAAACACTCTGATAAAATGTGTGAATGATGCTCGGTTGCCAACTTGTCAGTAAGGAAAGTACTTATATTTCATCCTAAAAGACATTAAACCTTTTCTCATATTTTGCCACGTGCATGTAATTGTAATAGCTGCTTTAGGAGACAGGAACCTATGACAAAACGTGAGTTTAGATCTACAAATACACGTTTTTGTCTGATCTTCTAATTGCTTTTAAATGTTGTTACTCTTTATGTAATTCTGTGTTACTTTTGTTGTGCAGTGCTTTGTTTGGCCCTTGGGCCATGTGAAAGTGCTATATAAATAAAGGTAATTGATTGATTGAAATACATTTTCAGTTTTAAAAATCTTTTTTTATGTGCATCATTCCCTGACTGTAAACTAGGCCAGGGTCTATTGGCAACAATGTCATGTGCGTGCTTTTTATTGGTCCAAAAAGTGTATGAATATGTGTGTATTGTTTTCTATCACGATGATATCAAGAATCACGAGATTCGTTTTGGTGTTGGGATTCCTGCTGTTTGGCCTGAGCGGTTACCTGGCTTACTGTAAAATTAAAGAGCTTTCAAGGAATATTGGCTCAATCATCTAAGGGATGGAATGCATCGCGCTGTGAACTCACAAACTCATATAATTGTCGAGATGAGTCGTAAGCTTGTAACTTTGGCTGAGATTCAGGCTCTGGCACAGAAGGTGGATTCGATCAAGGAGAGAGTTGACAGATCAGCATGGATTGGGATAGATTAATTACGCCATTATTGGATCTAGAGGGGTTGAAGACCAACAGAACTCTAAGGCAGATAGGAAATTATCTGTCTATCCCCAAAACAAATCTTATCTGAATCTGGTGCCCTTGGAGTGTGTGAGGCTGAAGTGATAACTCTCCCCTCAGAAGAAATGTGGAATGCTGCCATCGCTATGGAAACCCTTTCTCCCTATCCCAGCCTGGGCGGGACTGTGACCGGTGAAGGCCGTGGAACCGTATCTAGGAGTCAATGTGCCCTCTAACCCATTATCTCCCTCCCCTGTCCAAACGGAGGTGTTGAGCGCTGCTCCATGCGGCTGCACGCACCGAAGTGAGGAGAGTCCCAACCCTACCTCCCCAACTAGTGGACACTTATGTTGTGTAATGTCTGAAGTCTGTGTGCATATCTGTCTCAGGTGTTTTTTTGCATGGCAAAGCTGCCCTCTCTGTTGAGGGTAACTCTGAAGTGCCTTTTTCCCTCCCCCTCACTCCATCCTCATATAAACCCTCTTGATCTATTACGGTAGCGCGACTCAGGTTGCGAATGACCACAGTCACCAATTCTTGTCATGTGTCTATGTATGTATGTCTGATCTCAGAATTGTGTGTACTGAAACTCTAATCTCCCTCTGGGATTAATAAACCATTTTTAATTGAATTGAATTTGACACTTTATTCAATTTAAAATGTCACAAAAAGCTGTGAAAGTAAGTCTTTCCAAATCTGAAACTTAAACTTGATTGTGGTTGGATGCATTTCATTGTCTAAAGCATCAAAAGTCTTTTATTGTGAAAATTGATGTGGGGGGAAAAAAAAATAAAAACTTTAATATTGCACCAAAAAAATAAGTAGGAACTGTGCGTAAGAAATATGTGCTGTGATTTCCCCAGTAATGATCTGACTACGTGTTTCTTTTTCAATAGAAACATTAAAGACATTTCAAAGACCCATCACCATGTTTGTGTCAGTGACAAAGTAATGGTCACACACTGCAACCAAGAGCAACATCGGTGTGTGCGGCATTTTCTTAACATGTTTTTTTTTCATACTGAGTTTTTTCAAAATGTATCTAAAGTGCATAATACAGCAGATCACAGCAAATTGTATTACCACAGCCATTCAAATGCACGTTTTTCACCGCATGCAAAGACTTCTCTGTGCAGCAAGCAAAGCATGCTGCAGACAGTGGATTGGGGTTTTCAGAAGAAAGATAATTATATCAAACTATTACACAAGCAAGATAGCTACATTTTATTAATATATATATTTTAATATTTCAAACCAGCAGTGATTAAAAGATAAAAATAGGCAGAAGACAGAGACCAAAGACCTCGACTACTGTCATACACACTCTGCCTATTTGTGTGTCATGCTTAAGTGCACACGTTTTATGTGCAAGTGTCAGCAAGTGTGTCATATTCTGAAATAAACCTGCCCTTGGTGAGCATGCTCAGTGGTGGTAATCACCGTGCCAATCTACCAATCTGCCCACTGCAGCATTGGCTGATTGAATGTGTCACAGGGGATGAATTGGAGCCAGAAGACAGCTGAAAACCAGAGGCAAGGGCAGAATTGCTGTGGAGAGGAAATGTTTTTTTGGTAAACACCTCTGTATATTTGTCAGTGCCATGTTGGGTGTTGAACTGGGGGTGGGGTAGGGGGGGGGGGGGGGGGGGGCGTTTTTACCACCATTTCATCCCAAGCATTTCTTCCCAAAGAAGCATTGATAAATGAACCTTATTTGAATATGTATGTGCTGCAAGGCCAAGATAAAGAATAGATGGTCCAGAAAGAATTGGAGCTGGCAGACCCATCTGTCTTCTCCTGTTCATTCTTATTGTGGTTGTTGTCTCATTACCACAAAATCTTGTTTTTTTTTGTGTGTGTGTCAACAAGGGAACAAATTACAAGGGACACATGGCTATCGCTTGTCTCTTGCACTCAGGCAGAGGGGTATCATTTCCCCACAATAACTACATTTTTACAATGCTGATTGGTCATTTTAAAGCACTATGCAGACATAGTGTCTCTCCGTCATTTGTATTGGTCAACTGTGGACATGTGAGCATGTGATTACTGTTTTGTGTCATTCCAGATTCTGCACTCACAGTCGGGATGCTTTGTGCGTGATAAAGGCAAGCAAAGGAGCGATCAGAAGTGTACAAACACTCGAGCCCGCCAATAGGGGGGGCAAACGAGTCTGTTGTCCTGAGCCCAGTGTAGGAGGGGAGCACAGAAGAGCAAGGAAAAAAGAAAATCTCATTTCGGGCCCAAGTGACTTTCAAATTTCAGAACTTTGCACCCTCTGGGAAATGGTGGAGGTAGCACCATGATGTGGGACTAGTGCATGGCACAAAGTAAAAGGAATAGAGGAGGACAACAGCCAAACTCATCAAATGTACCTGAAGTCCTCAGGTTTTAAACCTGGATTCAACTGGGTATTCTGACAGACCAATGATTGTAAGCATTCATTAGAACTGGTTTATGACTGGAAAAAGCTGCTAACAAGAAACTTTTGGAAGGGCTTTTCCCAAAGCATCAATAACATCTGGATTATGCTTAAAAACTGTGTGGAGAAATCCAGAGATGGGAATATTGGCATCAACAAGTCAACTCTATGCTGTGATTTTGTTTTGCTCAGCAGCTGAACAAGGTTGATTCACTGTGCTGATTGAAATCACCTGGTTTAGCTGCTGAACTGAAGAAAAACACAGCATGGAGAGGACTTGTTAATGTCACAGTTCCTCATTTCTGGAGAAATCCAACCAATTTAAATGAGCACAGCCAATTCTACCAAGTGTAGATGTCAAATACCAGACAGTTATTTTTTGGGCTGCAGAGGTACTTAGGGTCCAACTTTTTAAGAGGTTTGTAATTACCTTTTAGCCTTGTGTGGAAAAGAGAAGTGCACGTTTTGCCGTGCCACCCTGGAAATGAATTATTAAAATACCAATACTAATATGATATCTGTGCCCATGGTGAGTGTATGTAAACTTCTGACCGCCACTGCAGGTAGTGATCATTAGAAAGAAATGAACAGAAAAATAAAAGTGGTCAAAGAAAATCAATGGGGAAAGTCATCGTCTTTTTCATTTACCTGAGAGTCTAAAGCCCCTCACAAGGCTCCCCTCCCTCAACTGTGTCTGACACATAAGCACAAAAAGCAGTTGTTAGATTTATGGTTCAAACCAGGGGCTGAGAGTCACTGCCAGCAAATGGGCTCTATAATTGGATAAGATGGAACAACTCTTTTCTGACACATAAAAAAGATATGCAAGCTAGTGTGGGTGCAGGCTTTGTAGTTCTAATACACATCGCTGTTTACAGTTTGACTTGTCAGAATAGAAAATCAGAACCTTCAGTCGTCAGACCATATGTGCTTAACTTGATTGGATTTAGGCCTGTCCCCACGCCCAGACTGCCTACTCACACACATTATCTTTGTGTATGACATTTTTGTTTTTTCCAGATTCACTCTTTTCAGTTTGTTTTAAAATCAGAACATTGTGGACACGCTGTCATGCCTCTTGATTCACAAATCCAGTAAATGTTTGAGGGGGGAAAACAGTTTTGTGTTATCAGAAACAGAGAAAAGGAAAAGGCTACTTTCAAAATATGTTTTTCCAAAGTCATGGTGTGAACTGTAGACTGAATTACAGTACAGGGTTTTCTATTAAAGTAATAACATGTACAGTGGGGCAAAAAAGTATTTAGTCAGCCACCGATTGTGCAAGTTCTCCCACTTAAAATGATGACAGAGGTCAGTAATTTACATCATAGGTACACTTCAACTGTGAGAGACAGAATGTGAAAAAAAAAATCCATGAATTCACATGGCAGGATTTTTAAGGAATTTATTTGTAAATCAGGGTGGAAAATAAGTATTTGGTCACTTCAAACAAGGAAAATCTCTGGCTCTCACAGACCTGTAACGTCTTCTTTAAGAAGCTTTTCTGTCCTCCAGTCGTTACCTGTATTAATGGCACCTGTTTGAACTCATTATCTGTATAAAAGACACCTGTCCACAGCCTCAAACAGTCAGACTCCAAACTCCACTATGGCCAAGACCAAAGAGCTTCCGAAGGACACCAGGAAAAGAATTGTAGACCTGCACCAGACTGGGAAGAGTGAATCTACAATAGGCAAGCAGCTTGGTGTTAAAAAATCAACTGTGGGAGCAATTATCAGAAAATGGAAGACATACAAGACCACTGATAATCTCCCTCGATCTGGGGCTCCACGCAAGAACTCATCCCGTGGGGTCAAAATGATCATGAGAACGGTGAGCAAGAATCCCAGAACCACACGGGGGGCCCTGATGAATGACCTGCAGAGAGCTGGGACCACATTAACAAAGGTCACCATCAGTAACACACTACAACGGCAGGGAATCAAATCCTGCAGTGCCAGACGTGTTCCGCTGCTGAAGCCAGTGCATGTGCAGACCTGTCTGAAGTTTGCCAGAGAGCACATGGATGATACAGCAGAGGATTGGGAGAATGTCATGTGGTCAGATGAAACCAAAGTAGAACTTTTTGGTATAAACTCAACTCGTCGTGTTTGGAGGAAGAAGAATACTGAGTTGCATCCCAAGAACACCATACCTACTGTGAAGCAAGGGGGTGGAAACATCATGCTTTGGGGCTGTTTTTCTGCTAAGGGGACAGGACTACTGATCCGTGTTAAGGACAGAATGAATGGGGCCATGTATCGTGAGATTCTGAGCCAAAACCTCCTTCCATCAGTGAGAGCTTTGAAGAGGAAACGTGGCTGGGTCTTCCAACACGACAATGACCCAAAACACACTGCCCAGGCAACAAAGGAGTGGCTCCGTAAGAAGCATTTGAAAGTCCTGGAGTGGCCTAGCCAGTCTCCAGACCTCAACTCTATAGAAAATCTGTGAAGGGAGTTGAAAGTCTGTGTTGCTCGGCGACAGCCCCAAAACATCACTGCTCTCGAGAAGATCTGCATGGAGGAATGGGCCAAAATACCAGCTACTGTGTGTGCAAACCTGGTAAAGACCTATAGTAATCGTTTGACCTCTGTTATTGCCAACAAAGGTTATGTTACAAAGTATTGAGTTGAATTTTTGTTATTGACCAAATACTTATTTTCCACCCTGATTTACAAATAAATTCTTTAAAAATCCTGCCATGTGAATTCATGGATTTTTTTTCACATTCTGTCTCTCACAGTTGAAGTGCACCTATGATGTAAATTACTGACCTCTGTCATCATTTTAAGTGGGAGAACTTGAACAATCGGTGACTGACTAAATACTTTTTTGCCCCACTGTACTTTTAAAGCATGATCAGGTGAATCCCGGAAGATTAAATGGCACTGTTGATGCAAACTTTCATCTCTTTCTAAATTTCTCAACTGCTTTTGTGAAAAAAACTATGACAATCAGCCAAAAAAAAAACATTATACTTAATTTCTAAGGGCTACACTGGTTTGAGGTTTTTCTTTTGTTTTTCTTGCTCTAACAAAGATTAAGTTACAAACCTTGTGTTTCCAGACTTTCACAGAGTTCAGACTTGGCCTCTCCGTTTGGCCTCAGGCCTCCTTTGGGGTTGAACTTGTTGGACATTGTGGCTGCAGTGACCACAGCTTTGAGGCTGCGCTTGCGCTTGGGCACGTTTTGTTCTGGATGGAACAGAACCACGTAGACCTTAGGCATGTAGAGCATTCCCAGAGAGACCGATGCACTGAGGCTGACAGAAATGGTCAAGGTTGTAGTCTGGATATACATCTGAGGAGGAGACAGAGTGGACAAAAGACATTCATTTGTTACATATTATTTACTTTCCAGATCCTGCGCCATGAATAGTTTTTCTCCCAAAGAAAATCATTTTCCAATGGAAGTTTGAACATTGTGCCAACGTAGTTAAGGTTAAATCCTAGAGCAGGGCGGTTAGATTTAAATGACACATCCTATAATTCATAGTTAAGGAAATCAAGCTGATGACATATTATACCCTCAACATATCACTTTCATGACAAATGAGCACACAGCTGAGAGACAACCTTTAATTAAATTGGTTATATTAAATGTGCAGACAATAAAAATAACAAACAAAAAAATAACTGCAGTCATAAGAAATGTAATTGTATTAGGTCTGTGATGATAAACGTACAATCACTAATCAGTGGTGATTGATATGATAATCCAGGCCAAAAGTTCTGGTCCTGTTTGAATCCCAGTCGCAGGAAAACACTGGAATGGTCACCTTTGTTTTGTTTTGTTTTTTCAGTTTATTTATCAGAAGAAAGTAGTTCAAAGTCAAAGTAATTTTATAAAACGTGTTCATACACATCACATTATTGTTGCATCAAGTCAGCACCTGAAACTGTATTGGCGTAAACCTGATTTCATATATTTTTAAAGTACGCAAAAACAGCAAAGGTAATTCAGACATGTTTAACTACTGTAATCTACAACAAGAGTTTCTAAGCTTTTATAAAGTCCCATTAGTCGTCACACACTGGTCAAACTTGTTCTCCACGCTTGACGCATCCCATGACGAAGCAGTGAGCTGCAGACACGGTTGCGCTCGGGAACTATTTGGTGATTTAACCAAACGGGGAGGCACTGGGTTACATTTTTTAAATTCTTTAGTGTGACCAAACCATGGATTTGGACCCATGATCTCATGCCACTAGGCCACTGAGAAGATAAGTTCTTCTAAGTTCTCACCGACAAGATAACAAGAGCAGGGATCTGCAACCTAAACTTTCGCATTGCTAAAAGTACAAAAGGAAAACCTCTACAATAGCCAACATAGAGTTTTAATCACTGATGACAGCTGCTTTTCATTCCTGTAGCATTTGGTGAAATATGTAATTAACAACAATTTCAAATTCAAATGTTGGACTGAATCTGGAGAACTTGTGCTCACTGCCCTAATTTAGGAACCGCATATGCTAATAACCCTCAGTATTTAAGAAGGCATGCAAAGAATAAAGTCTCCCAATGAATTAAAGAAAAAATATATCAGCTGACGATGGAAGTGATAAACCCTGTATTCGATCATACTCCAAACAGTACAAGAGCCTTTTTGGTGATACAGGGCGAGTGTTGTAATCTCCTGAGAAGATTACACTTGCCCTGGGGTGAGTTCGGAACAATATTGCAAGCCCTCTATGGTACAGAGTGGAGTCACTCTCTGAGGGGAGCCTAGACCCTTGTCCACTTCTAGTGGCCCTGCTGACATAAATCCTTCCTGACATGCTGAAATGATGGCCAGTGTGCTCCTTCAGCCCATATCTGAAAATATCTTTGGTCAAAAACCATTACAAAATGTATTGAATGTAGGAATCCATTTTGTAGGAATTCCTTGTTCAGGAGAACTTGTCCTCCTTTGACAAGGAATGCTGCTCCATCAAACACCAGTACGTAAGAAAAAATAACTAAATTGTCATAAATGTAATGGCTCAAGGCAGTAGTTCTCAAACGTGTTGTACCAGGTAACACTACTAAACATACTAGTCTATCTGAGGACCACCATTATAACTAACATTAAACAGGACTTGTTATGGCTTTTTTCCTTAAGTTATAATAGTTCTGCAGTATGTAAAACAAATGTTTATAAAGTTCTTTGCACAAAATCCCTCTCACACAAAATGATTAAAGCTGGTTTGTTCTCGACATTTTCAGTACCTTCTAGAGAATGAGCCTTTTTCGCTTTAAGAAAACAAGCTGTTACTGGCCACATCCACCCCTTCCCCACTCAGGCATAAGCTGAGAAGCTTTGATATTCTTGAGGGGTGACCCAGAAGTGGCAAGCTGTGTCGTGCAGCTACAGATAGGATCGCGTTCTATCTTTGCCACGAGTCGCTCAGACACAACAATTTTCGCAATTAACATAGGGCTAGACATCACATATGGTTTCAGTGTAAAACATCCAGAATTTTTTTTAATAAAAGACTTCTGCAGTGATGAATTTCATATCTATGTAGATAACATGAATACAAGTGACCTAATGACTTCCCTGCATCATTCCAAAAGTGCAGCGGTGTGATTTTCATTGCTTTATTCCTAGCGATGGAGAGGAACAGCATCATCCATCTATCCATCCATTTATTTTCTTCCGCTTATCTGGATTCAGGTCGCGGGGGCAAACACCTGAGTCGCGAGGCCCAGACTTCCCTCTCCCTGGCTACTTGGGCCAGCTCTTCTGGGGAAATCCCAAGGCCTTACCTGGCCAGGTGAGAGACATAGTCTCTCCAACGTGTCCTGGGTCTTGCTCTAGGTTTCCTCCCGGTTGGACGTACCCAGAAAACCTCACCCATGAGGCATCCTGACCAGATGCCCGAGCCATTTCAACTGGCTCCTCTCGACGTGGAGAAGCAGTGGGTCTACTCTGAGCCCCTCCCGATGACCGAGCTTCTCACCCTATCTCTAAGGAAGAGCCCTACCACCACGTGGAGTAAACTCATTTTGGCCGCATGTATCCGAGGTCTCCTTTTTTTTGGTCACTACCCAAAGCTCATGACCATAGATGAGGGTAAGAACGTAGAATGACCAGTAAATTGAGAGCTTCACCTTCTGGCTCAGCTCTCTTTTCAACATGACATACCGGTACAACGCTCGCATCACTGCAGACACAGCACCAATCTGCCTATCAATGTCGTGCTCCATCTTTCCCTCACTCGTGAACACGACCCCGAGATACTTGTAAAGGATGGGTAGTTTACATTTTACTTATGAACCATGAAATGTGAGATTCCAAATATGAAATATCAATCAGATGGATCTTTGAATATTTTAACCAGAATATCAGAACCTTTTATTGCAGGGATTACTTGACACTTCGCATTAACTCCGAGGAAAGAGAGAGAGTCAGTTTTAAAATAGTTAAGAAATTTATTTCTACACAATTTAAATAAGACTAACTTAAACACTCTGTGTACTGATGGAAGTAAGGTGGAGTGAGACGTGAGATGATGGTGTGTGTGTGGAATGTTATTCAGAACCAGCGGATCCGGGGAAGCATTTAGTTCTGAGTGGGAGTGAATGTTTCGCTCTCAACAATCTTTGGAGATTTATAACACACATGAAACGCCATCTGTCGGTCTACGTACCCAGTGTCACGAACCGAACCAGAAGGACCCGTAAGGACACCAAACACTGAAAAGCACCTTTAAAAGTCTATTTGATGCAGAGCTACCAGAGGATGGCGAGGCTGGAGACAGAGTCGGAGAGGAGGCGAGGGTCAAAACCAGATCAGACAAGCAGGTATAGGGAACAGACTGAAGACGAGGTGGAGGACAGGCGAGGGTCGTGATGGCAGGCAGAGTACAAGGCAGGGGTCAGGCGAAAAATGAGGTCAGGAGGCAGAGATCAGGCATGGTGGGTGGCTGGAAGACCCACCCGCAAGAAGCTTTTGATAATCTGACAGAGACTGGATAGCTGGATGGTTCTTATATAGTAGGGGAAGCAGGTGTGTGAGATGAGCTGAGGAGTCAGGAGCAGGTGAAGTGGATGAAGCTGATGACAGGAACAGGTGAGAAGAATGGAGTTGATTGTGGATGCCAGGGTAAACAGGGCTTGTAAGGAGCTTGGTGAAGGGACCAGGTGAGCTGAATGAAGGTTAAATGAGGAGGCAGAGGAGGGTGAAGGTTGGGAGTCATGACACCCAGGGGAAGCCTCCGTTTGGATCCAGAATGTCGAGGTCCTCTTGGACCCTCCTTGGAACCGAAGCCAGTAGAAAAGCAGTGACGCCGACCAAACTAGTCTTGTTTCCAGGTCACGGCAGGTTATCATGGGAGTCAGCGAGACCCTGAAGGGGTCGTGAGGTTCAGCTTTTATTCTGAAGGAACCGTTGTGGTCAGGTGTAAATTGCAACAGATTTTATCCAGCTTGTCGAGGTTCTTTTGGCTGAAGAGGAAGTTGGATGGCCTGTCCGAGACTTCTCTAGAAGGCACTGAACTAAAGAAAAGGTGGCGTGGGATAGTTTTTATAATTGTCATATTTTGGTTTACTGGTGAATCAGAATTTGACATGCAAAGAGGGTTTATACAAACACCACAGAAAACCATGCCTCGCATCAGAAACGAAGGAACATGGCAAGCAGCAAAAGTCACAAGTAAACCGTTCTGCTGCTGTTCCACTCCACTTTTTTCCAGTGTGAAATAGGGGTAACATATCCTCTACACCATAGGACTAGTCTACCTTTTATCAATGAAAGGGCCCAGGTTTATTATCACATAATAATAGTTGGTCTCACCTTCATAAATAGACTACATACAGTTTACCGTAAATCCTCTAATACAGGCCCGGGCCTGTATTTGACTCAAGCTCATCAAGCTCCAGGCCTTTATTGGAAGGAGGGCCAGTATTAGAGGCATGCCTCTATTTCTATTTGAGCAAAATGAACTAATGGTTCGCTGGAGTTTTTGAAAATTAAAATTGCGCCCACATTTTCAAAGTTAAACACATTTCTTTTAACAACGGTAGTTTCTGCTTCAGCCCTCTCCCCCCTCCCCCTGCGCAGCGGCCGCAAACTCACTGATGCGCCTGCAGCCTCTCGGAGTTCCTGCTGCTCTAAACATTAAAATAATTATTTCATTTTCTGTTCCTCACTTCTGATGACCTTCAATGGTGTCTGTTTGTTGCAACCACCAGGTACAAAAACTAACTTGTTTTTATTTGACTATTTTTCTGTCCTGCCTGTTTATTATCTTCCTGCATCTCCTCTCAATCCTAAAGAAAAACTGCTACCTGGGTTCATATATATTCACCTCATGAGTTACCTTTGAACTGCAGTTCTAAAAGATCTACCGACCGCAAAAACAGCGGAACGCTCGCTGTTTGGCGGCCGTATCAGTGATCAGTGCGTCGGAGGACAAGGTGATGCGCGCAGCGCCCCGCTCCACAGCATGCAGCGAAACGCATCAGGCGCAAATAAAAGACAGAAAAACATTAAAGGAAATGAACTGACATGAACGATCGCGTGTTAAATTAGTTTTTGAGGTGGCGACACCTGATTGGTACTGTGGCCGTGCTCAGGAGGCAGATCTACCGACCGCGAAAACAGCGGAGCGCTCCCTGCTTGCCGGCCGCATCAGTGATCTGTGCGTCGGAGGACAAGTTGATGCACCCCGCTCCACAGCAGCGATACACATCAGGCGCAAATAAGACAGAAAACATTAAAGGAAATGAACCGACATGAACGATCGCGTGTCAGTACCTACGGTCTGGCACAGCGCGTTGCCCCCCCCCCCCCCCCCCCCCCCGAGCGCAGGAGCTTGTCACCTGCTGATAGCAGGCTGCTGTCTTTTCCGAGGGCTGCATCTTGCCGGTCATTATCACGTGACAGCGACTAGTCGACAGGCATAAAAAGTCACTACAGTAATCCCTCGTTTATCGCGGTAGATGTGTTCCAGACCTGGCCGCGATAGGTGAAAATCCGCGAAGTAGGGACTCCCAGCATGCCCCTCGCGGGGATTCCCTCCACGTTGCACCTACGTCACAAACCGCGGCTATAAACGGAAGTCGCCTTTCCAGCTCAGTCATCGTTTCTTCAGATTCATGATCAGAGTTTCCAACCTACCGATCAATCCAACGAACTATCAGCTCATAGTAAGTTATCTTACTTACTTCTGGAAAGCCCGGCATTTCCGTGTCACTTCGTTGATGCTCGAACGCTCGGGGGTTTCCTAGATCAGCCGGCGTTTCACCGACGCTATCACTTCCGCGTCTGTGAAACCACGCTCCCTATTGAATTATCGTATGATCACATTCTCTTTTTGTGGGTAAAACTCAAGAAAATTTTTTTTACTTGTTTTTTTTTAGTTATATTACAAAAAGTGCATTTTATGATGAAATTGATGAAAAAAACAAGAATTTCTTGATATTTCGCATAAAAAAATACCGCAAATCAGTGAAAAATACCGCAAATCTGCGAATTCCCCCTGAAAAATGCTCCAAAGAAAAAATCCGCGAAGCAGCGAATCCGCGATGAACGAACCGCAAAGTAGCAAGGGATTACTGTATAGTGAAGTTGACTAGTTCATACACACCCTACTGCTGCTCCCCAGAGTGTTCTGCAGCATAATCAGCACGTTCTCTTTGAACTTGATAGTGTAATGACCTGGCTGGGGTTGTAAGCCAGGTGCATTCTGGGTATTGTGTTATACGTGTTTCCTATCGTTCTGCTAGTTCCTATGTGCTGATTTGCGTGTTGTGTGAGTGTTATGTAAGCCACAGGGAAGGTGATGTGTGTTCTGTGGAGGGGTTGAATTAGCATGGTTAACTGACACCGTGACTCTGTGTGGTAAGAGCGTGATAGAGGATCGTGTCTGTAGCGTTACAAAGCGTTGAAGAAAAAGCCCAACAAAGGTCTGCGTTAACCTCTACTGCCTCCTGCTGGTTGATTTGGGGATTATAACCCTGCCGCTGGGACGCTCATACTTGCTTGTTACCACATTCCACCCGGCCACAATAAGAGACCGGCCATTATTTACCTCCGTTGATGCCGACACCGGCCAAAATTGGAGACCTGGCCTTCCTGGCCTTTAATTGAATACCGGCCTGTATTAGAGGATTTACGGTAACTTCACCTCACTGCAGTTGCTTTTAGGTGGTCATAAGTTAATACCCTGTTTATCCTAAGGTCTGACAGGCAGACATGTTTGGGCTATAAATGTAAGGAATTGTTCAAGTCACAGTGGTACATCTGGTTTGTGAATAGTGAGGAGTTGTGTTTTTATCCTGTTGGAGCTCTGTCCCTACCTGTGATCTTTTTTGTGTGTGTTTTCTGTCACATTTATTTACATTCTGGTTGTTGTTTTTCATAAATGACTAACAGTGTAATAGATCACTTTTGTTTGAGTAATGATCATAATAATAGAGGGTGTAACTGAGTCTGTCCTACATTCTGTGGCTTATGTTAAACTGAATGCTACTACATGCTGTATGTGACATTATATGGTGGACAGCTTGCTACTGCATGCAAAATTCAAAAAGTGGTAATCACTGGAGCATGATTAAAAAACATGAACATGACAGGCAAGGTGGGGTCTTGTCCGGGATTTTGATTTGCTTTAAACAAGTTGCTTTAATTTTGAGTAAGATCTTCTCGAAATTCTGCTCAAGTTACTATGAAGTGTCTTTGTCACAGCAGGTTTCTGTTTGAAATTGCTAGCATCAGGTCAGGACATGTAATTTTCTTTTCTCTTTCCCAGATCTGTGTTGTCAAAACCCTGTGATTTTGTTAGTTCCCCTAAAGACCTTGGATAAGCACATGTTCTCCTCCAAAGTTAAAATAAAGCCTTTCTTTTCTTCAGCTTTTCTACACACTTGGTTAAGATCCTACAATAGGACACATCATCTATTCCTGAAATAAAGACTGGAAACAGTGCAGTGTAAAGTGCACATACTTCAATGTCTATGTTTAAACATGAACAAATATGTATTTCACATTCTCTGGATTTTAATGGTAAATTTAGTATTGACCTATGTTTTATACATATGTAAAAAAAAATGCATCCATTTGGTTCTTCATGTTCTTGTCACTTCACAAGCACAATATGTGAGTAGAAACTTATTCAAAGCACTCTTTTTTAACAAATATGCATTTGTGTGGTTGACAGTCTAATGGCTGCCACTTAATTTGTTGCTGTGCAGAGCCCATCCTGGTGCTTCTGTAATTTGAATTTTCTTCTCTTTGCTTTTTAAATGTACATCTGTGTTGCACAACCTGAAAATTAGCATTCTATGCAATTTTTGATTCACTTTCAACTGATAGCTTACAATGATTTGAAAGCTATCATCTGTGCCTGTTTGCAAAAATATGGAGTGACTGCAGACTCAATGAATGTAAATCAAACACATGCATGGGAGAACAAGTGAAGAAATCATATCCAAGCAAACTTGAGGTGATTGATTTATCCCCACATACCAATTCTTAAAGCCTTGTAATCCCCTCAGTGAAGCATAAAGCTCATCAGCTTATGATAAATAGTGGCAACATCCACAAACACAAGTGGCTGATACAATATTACAGCTATTTATTTTCTTTCAGTCTTGATTCCAAAAGTCTGGATGCTGTGTAAAATGAAAATGAAACAATGCAAATCTCTGTTTTTGTTTTATAAAGGGTCCCAACTTCTGGAGAATTAAGGGTGTGAGATAAAAGGCCACTTAAATTCGTGTTTTTGCAAAAGAATACTAGCATTTCTGCTAATTTGTAGTAATGGGGTATTTTTGTAACCATTTTAAAAACAACACTTTGAATAAAGAATTCACCTTATCTGTTGATTGTGAAGTCCCAAAGAAGATGGGGATGAAGGCAAGCCACACGATGCACGTGGTGTACATGGTAAAGCCAATGGGCTTGGCCTCGTTAAATGTCTCGGGGACGCCTCTCGTTTTGATGGCATAAACTGTGCATGTGACCATCAGCAGCATACTGTAACCCAGCAGACAGATTAGAGATAGGTCCGAGATATCACATTTCAGGACACCTCGAGCTGTTTTGGGATTGGCTGTGCGCTGGTCTTCGTAGTCAATCGTGGCCTGTGATGGATCAACACCAAACCAGATGCACACTCCAAGTAGCTGTACTGATATTAGGCTGAATGTGATGACTAACTGGGAGGCCGGGGAGATAAATCGAGGGCCACTGATTGACATTTTGCCCTGCTCAAAAATCCTGTAGATTCTATTTGTCTTGGTGAGCAGTGCTGCGTAGCTTATGCTCATGCCAAGACCAAGAAAAATCCTTCGCAGTGAACATACGAACACATTCGGAGTTGAGATCATCAGGAATGTTGTGGCGTAGCACAGAAAGATTCCTGTTAGAAGCACATAGCTCAGTTCTCTTCCAGAGGCCTTAACAATGGGTGTATCATTGTAGCGTACAAAGGTAGCCACCACCAGCAAAGTGGCTATGATCCCCAAGACGGCAATTAGGACAGGGATGACTGCCCAGGGAGAGCTCCACTCCAGCTTAACAATAGGAATGGGAACACACCCAGTGTGGTTTCCATTGGGCCGCAAATCAAAGGGGCACAACCTGCAGCTGTAAGTATCTGCCTGGTACTGGTAGCCATCACAGTTCTCACAGTGCCAGCAACATGGGATTCCCTTCACAATCTTCTTCCGCTGCCCAGGACGACAGGGTTGGCTGCAGATAGACAAGGGGACTTGTGTTCCACCAGGCCACTGCATCTCATTTATCTGGAGGGGAAAATATAAAACAGGAAAACATTATTTTTTGTTTTTTTCTCCGGAACAAAATAAGAGATCCAGAGCAACACTTTTTTTTGTAAAGATACTCTTTAAAACACATTTTTACTGCACTGTTAAAATGTGAACGTTAAAATAAAATGTTAAACAGTTATAATGTGCGATAAATACACATATACTGAAGTAACACAATGTTCTTTCTCTGATTTGATTTAATAAAACACAACATGTGATAATGACAAAATATTTTATAATTTGGTTGTAGAGAAACACAAAATGGAAAAATAAATAAAAAGAAAAACCTGAGAAGAAATGTTACCTCATAAAAGCATTTTTTTATGGAGTTACAGCATAGACATTGAGTTTAGCGCAAAGAAAATACTTTGTCTTCTCTCGTCTTGCACTTATTTGGAAGGGGGAAAAAACAACTCAATAGATTTGAACTCTTTGGTAATGCAATCTCAACACAGCCCATTGCAAAGAAATATCCCTTCCTTGAGCTGTGGTGTTACAAATGTTTTGGTTTAACACAGTTTTCCAAGGAAGCCTTAGTAAGTTAGTGTTTGTAATGAAATGCATTTTCAAGCAGGACTCTTGATTTCCCTTTCCGGGCTCTAATATGTGCACTCACAATAATAAATCTGAGAAACAAAGCTGCTATGTGTCCAAAAATAATGTTTAACATACTTAAAGCAAGTATCAAAATAATAATAAAACATGTTTCTGCTTCGTTTCAGGTCTGCTGTTGTCACTATCTGCAGAAAGGTAGCTTGTGTTTTTTGTGCATATTCATGTTAACCTATGAGGACATTAGGACTTCAGACAAAAATTAACACATTGAGTTTGTCTTCTTTTATTCAAAAGTGAAACAATAATATCTCATTAACAGCCTTTGTCATGTTGGTGTGTGTTAAGCCAGCGTGTGCTCACTTTGTCATGGTGTTTTTAAGCATCACATACCTAATTGAACATGAACGTGTTGGAAAGTTGTTCTCAAAGATGCAACAGAAACTGTGTGAATCAATAAAAGACCTTCAATACCTGAAACTGAAAATCTGAGGAGTATTTCAACAAACGTGTTCAGCAAAATGTTCCCTTCATTTATAAGGAAAAGGTGGGACACAAAACTTTACTGCAGCCAGCCACTAGGGGGTGCTTATTTAGGCTTTGGTCTTTATTCAGTTTTTGTATCTAGTCATAATATATATTAAATATTCAGAACAGTTCATATTATATTAGCATATATCAGTTAGTATTATAACTGTATGTTCAGAACAAAAACGGAATTGTCTACAAGGAGTAGAAAATGAATTATAATTTTTACACAAATAAATCGGAAAAGTGTTTTTTATTTATCAGCTTGGATAGCTACCAAAATCTGTTTTATCCAATACAATCTTTACTCAAAACATTATAATCAGTATTATGTTCTAAGGTAACAACAGTTAAATGTTTAAACTTGGTGATTAGTTTTAATAAAACTCATAAAGTAAGTCTTACTGTATAAATAGATCAAGAATTGTGTTAGCATCTGTGGTGGGAAATTAACTATGCCATTTGTATCACTAAATTTGTAATCCGGATAAAGGATTTGGTTTCTTGGGTCTCCTAATAAGATGAGGTACCCTATAATACTCTATAAGACTCATTGTTCCAGTTAGGCAGGCTGGAAATCATTTCAGCACTGTATACGGAACAACACACACACACACACACACACACACACACACACACACACACACACACACACACACACACACAGGTTACATATGCAAGTGCTCCAGAAATACTTGATAAAGTATTTTAAATTTTCATACGTCCAAATGAAGATGATCACTCCAGTCTCCAATGATCTTGTATTCAGTGGTGTCATTTCTGATCTGGTACTGGTAGATTTCATAGCGACCAGGAGCATCTCCATTCATGTTAAAGACCACTGGGGTGCCTGCAATTCCTAAAACCATAAAAAAACACAAATGGAAAGTTAAGTCATGCCATAAGTTCAGTCATGCTTGGTCTCAAAGTGTGGTGAGATAAAATGAGTCTGCGAAGGCCTTCATGTTGGTGCTGTTGTGTCCGTAATGATGGGAGTAAAATAGATGTTGACAGGCACGTTGTCCTGGTCTTTTAAGGGGAGCCGGGGCTGCTGTCTCTTTATGTTCTCATGTCTTTTTACACTCCTTCACTCTGCTTATTGCCCCATTGCCTGTTATGCACAAGGCCCCCACTCAGGGAGCTAATGGATGACAGCACTGCTTTTCATTACCACTTAGAGGTCTCTCTCATGCCTCTGCTTTCTTTATCTGCTTGTTTGTGAGCCAGTTTCCAATCATCTCTTCAGGTCCAGAACTTGGTAAAAATTGTCCAGTGTGTGTGAGGGGGGAAATAAATGATAGAAATAATGATTAGAAGTCCCTGTAAAGCCTGAGGTTTATTAATAGCACGCAAATATCTGGTTCCACCTGTTCATGGTCTTGTTAAATGTGTTTTTTTTTCTCTAATGATGCAATCTCATAACTCTAAGAAACTGGATAAGATGTTGAAACGGGAAGACAAGAGTGAAAAAATGTCCCTAATTTAATTGCAATTAAAATTGTCTTTATGTCTCCAATAGTCAGTATTCTGATGGTGTGGTGCAGTCCTGAATGCACTATATAACTAGGAGGTGCATGAAAGGAATCAAATAACAAGTTATTCATATTTTAGAGACTTGTTACCATGTTTTCAACATTTGAGCCAAACATCATGCATATCTTTTCATGAATTTCTCATTTGCTACATTGGTATGGTAAATGGCCTGCACCTACTGAGGACTTCAAAGTATTTTAGACTAAAGTCAGCCGTTCACACGCTGTTGGTGCTGAGCTACACTGTAGCCACCAGTGAGGCTGCCGTACACAACTGCCACCGGTCCCTCCGACCACATCCAGCAGCACAACACATTTTGCGCAGCAAGTGTCTTGCTGAAGGACACAAAGAGTTTCATCCTAACAGGCTTCACTCACTCATTTTATCTGACAAAGTATACCTGAGGATCAATGCAACAAGCTTTGTTGAGTCATTTGTTTCCTCGTAGAGGTTATATTGCGCTTGTTGTAGCCAAACCACTTTTAAATTATCGGAGCACTGAACAGCACTCCAACCCTCAGGTTCACCCTTTATCAGTGCATCTGTGCTTGACCGGGACGTGACAACATGAAAGCAGTTAGTTTTGCTGGTGTTTGTAACATGTCATAAAATGCATCAGTATCCACTAGATGTGAACTCGCTCAATATAGACTCTTTTTCATGCCTATACACTTTTTCACCAGGAACTGATGATGATAGGTAATGTAACTTCCCAAGGTGGCAGCTGCAGAACCAGAGTTGCAGGTTTATGTAAAAACTACTTTAGAAAACTTCCCAATGCTGTCTATGTTTATAAAGTTTATTCAAGAGAAAAACACATTTTTCCAGATAGAATGCTGTATTAACAATCTAACAGCAGCATTATAATATTAGGGATGTCTCGATACATCTTTTTCACTTCCGATACAATACCGATATTACAGCCTTCAGTATTGATCGGTACCGATATCAATCCGATATCAGCAAAACTCATACATACTTTTACCTATTTTGTAGTGTGGAATGTGTGAGAGGCTTGATCAAGTGATAATACCCAATCGGAGAACAAGAGCCAATGACAGCAAGTATGAAAATAATGTGACCCTTAACGGACTGCTTGTATCAGCGATTTTTCATACAGTCTGATATAATCCGATAGAGTGTTTTTCGGCCGTTATCAAATTACTTTCAATATCGACATCGGAGCGGGACATCCCTATATAATATTCCTGCAGGAAGTATCACAGATTTCAGCAAAGATAACGGTTTTCACGTTCAGCTTGCATGTGAAATTCAGCAAGACTGATCAATTAAAGTTAAGTCATCACACGCTGGTGAAATTCATCTCTGCATTTGACCCATCCCTGTGGGGAGCAGTGAGCTGCAGCTGTGGCTGTGCTTGGGAACTATTTGGTGGTTTAACCCCCTATCCAACCCCAGCTGAGTGTCAAGCAGGGAGGCATTGGGTCCCATTTTTGAAGTCTTTGGTATTGGATTTGAACCCCGATCTCCCATACCAGGTGGACTCTACCACTAGGCCACTGAGAAGAAAAAAATCAACTAAAAGGTTTTAAACAAAGTTTCTCAGTGAATTTGCTCGTTAAGAACACAGAAGACAGCAGACACATTGTGACATCAATGCAATTATATAATATATGACTTTTATATTGTGGCATCTACAATATATGAAATAATCTAGTATAATGTTGTATTTCTGTGTTTAGTTTAAAAGTACTATAGCATCAAAAGAATGTGATTCACCAAATTCATCTAGAGAGCCTCAAAAATGAAGATGTTCAGCTCTCACAATAACCTTTCACCTTTTCACTGTAAACCCAAAAGTTCAAAATAATCAAATATATTGAGTAGAAAACTCAGTTAAAATTTTTTTTTAGAAGTCAAATGTGTTGAGCTTGTTCAACCTTTTCCTTGTTTTAAGTACATAGAACTCAAATGTTTTAATTAATTTGAACTATTTATTTTTTAAGCATAACTTAAATTAATCAATAAAGAACAACTTAACTTTAATGAGTATATTAACCAAAAATGATTGATTTATTATTTTATGTTTCTATATAATTACAGTCATCTTCACGCCAACCCTAAAGTGTGTTTGATAAACAGACTTATATTATTTTAAATATTTGTGGATTTACAAGAAAACCAACCACAAACTAGCAATGGATTTCAGGAACAATAAACAACTGGTGGGAGAGGTGCATTGTGGGTAGTCATGTTTTCAGTTATTTTGCTCTATTTTGGGGTGTTTATGCATGTTCATTGTGGATGATTGTTGTTCTCAGTTATTATTTTGTGCAGTGTTGCAGATGTGGTGTTACTTTTTGTATCATGTTGGCACCATAAGTGAGGAGGTTGGTCAAAGTAATGCTGTATGGCTGTGCCGTGTCACACCCTATCCTGTCACCCCGTTTTGTTTAGCCTTGTGTCTCCGTTAATTGCTCCCACCTGCCTCTCGTTTCCCAATCACCCTAGCTCCCGGCCCTCGTATATTTAAACCCCTTCTTTTCTGTGTCTTGGGTCGGATCATTGTTTCATTGTCTAGCGTGTCTCCTAATAAATAAGTGTAAGAATTCCTACCTGTCTGCCTGTTTCCTCCCCGCGTCTGGATCCTCGCCTCACCTCGGCTTCATTCACCGGCACGTGTGACATGCCGTCCCATTGTTAATAATACTGTGGTTGTTCACACCGGATGCTCTTTACTTGACTTTGAGTGTCCCACTTTCATTGACTGTTAGCATTTATGGGTGTGTAAGTCATGACCTGGTGTTAGTTACTGCCTTCACCAGCCTGCCACATTGTCATTTTTAAGTAAATTCAACTTATTTGGGTTAGGGTTTAATAGGTCCATTTAGAGTTCATATAAGTTTAATATTTAAGTTAGTAAAAACATAATATTTAAGTTAGTAAAAACATGTAATAAAGTTCTAATAAAATAAAATATGCAAGTTTAGTCAAATAAAACTTTCTAAGTTGCTTAAGTACCAAGTTATTGGAGGTAGTTAAATGCTTTGATTTTATTCAGGTCATATTTTTTAAGTTATGGTAAACTTATAGTTTTTGGATAAGTTAACTTAAAAATTATTAGGCAATCAGTTTCCTCATGAATTTTGAGTTCAGTGAACTCATTTGGGGTTACAGTGAGAGGTCCCTGCAAACAGCAAGCTCAAACTGCTGTCACGATGTTGTGAATTATATGGCGCCTCGACACCGATGGCTTTGTCCCTGAGAAACTCCTATAACAATAATTGTGCTAGAAGTGAACTGAAGAATGCGTTTTACCAAAAAGGAGGTTTTAGGTTGGCTCTTTGTTTTTTTTTTTTGTTTTTTTTTTTTATTTTAAGCAAGACACAGCTCCCAAAACTTCAGAGCCATTTTGGCTGTATTGGTTCTTGAGGACTGGAGCTTTATACCTGTAATCTGAATTGGACTGGATTGACATAAACATTCCACTCCATCATGAGGAACGGCTCAGAATACTTTAATCACATTATCATCCAACACTGTGTGTTAATAATACCATGGTTGATTAGGCACCACCCAATTTGAGAGTCATGTTTCTCTTGCAGTCTGGATGTTAGAACCAAATATATGCTCTCTCCCAGGATCTCTGTTTCTTGTAGAACAACAAAGTTTCCGAACTTAGAGCCATCTACCTGGTATTTTTTTCCTGTTTAATTAACCAAATGCTATGATACGTATTTCTGCTTGTGATTTTTTTTTCTACAATTTTTTTTTAATTCTACAAGTCATCCTGCTCTTATGGATTGTATTAAGTGCACATCAATGCAGTCAAACCTAAAAATAACATTTATTACCTGAACATTTGAATAGTTTGTTCTGTCTTGTAAAAAATGTTTTATGAAGGAAATTGCTCTACATACACTTTTATGTACAACATGTCATCCTTAAAATGAGGCCGTGGTGGTGGTCTCACGATACTCTATCGCGAGACTTGGAAGGTCCTTCCCGTAAGCCTTCCTCCTCTCACCACTCTGGAATGCCTCGCCTGTCAACTCTCCGGCCCGACCCCCACAATAATTGTCACTGTTTATCGTCCCCCCAAGTTCAGCCCTGAGTTTTTTAATGAACTCTTTGCTCTTTTATCCCATCTGTCCGCCCTTTCCCCAAATGTAATTTTACTTGGTGATTTTAATATTCATATGGACAATACGGCCCTCCCCCTCAGCAAAGACTTCTCCTCATCTTTGGACAGCCTCAGTTTTCATCAATATGCCAATTTTCCCACTCACATTAAAGGTCACACCCTGGATTTGATCTGCTGCTCCGGCCTGACCCCCTCCAACTGTACAACTGACCCGCTCCCTT